AATTTAATTCACAGAATATTCTCACTCGTAGTCTCATAATGACTTTAAAAACAGTGTCCTGAGAATATCTTCTTGACATCCAGAAGATATACTGAGAATATCCTGAAAATATCTGTGGGATATCCTGACGATATCAATGGGATATCCTGATGATATCTGTGGGATATCCTGACGATATCTATGGGATATCTGGAGGACATTTATGAAAGTCTATAGAGATATCCAGAAGATATCCTGTGGATATCCTCAGATATTCATGGGATATCCAAAGGATATCCAAACCGCTGATTTTTTGGATATCCTTAAGAGATCCGTTTGATATCCATAGGACATCCCTAGGATATCTGCGGGATATTATCAATATATCCCAAGATATCTTGTGTTATTAGGGATATATCAAAAATGGTAAATATGTTTAGAAATTTTTATTTTTAGTTCAACAAATTTTATCTGTTTATTTAACATACAAATGGATTTTATTACATTTTTATCTTATTATAAAAGTTTATTTTGAAAGGTACTATAAAATTACGTACGCAATTAGTGAAATCGCCAAGTTTCCGAAACCCAAGACGATTTTAGAGTGAGAGTGATAAGGAAGGGGAATATTTTGATCTTCTTTTAACCCATTATGTTTCTGAAACCTGGCGACCTTATCAGGATGCACCTTAAGGTAGGACGAAGAAACTGGTTGGTCTGCTTGGTACTCAACAAGACAATTACCGAATAAGAGAATTGTGTCGTTGCGTAAAATTAGGATCAAGGGGAATGCAAGCGCTTTGAACTTTCGAAAATCGTGTTTTATAACTCTTCTCATTGCACTTGACTCACAAAGTATTGATAGATTTTCAGTTTTTCAAAATCTTATGTATAAATTAAAAATTTTTTCATTTCATTAATATTAAATATGCACTGAAAAAATAATATGAATCAAAGAGTTTTTTATTTGTTTCAAATAAATCGCAGGAATTAAAAAGGACAAATCAGTTATGGAATTGGTTCAAGAAAACGATTGTCTTGCTATGGAATGTTTAGGAGGAGAGCATATATTCTTGATCCAAGAACATATGGAATTCGACCAAGAAATTAATCAACATATAAGAAATATAAAATATATTAAATGAAGAAAATATTTTCTTGTTTTTAAAATATATGTTCTAAATGTACTAAAATGGATCACTTTTTACAATGATTCATTTCAATTTTCAGGAAAATTATTTTAGAAAACTCTACTAAAAATTTTAATTTATTGAATTAAACAATCAAATTGTCATGGTTAGTGAAAGTCTAAATATAAAATATTATTGAATTTGATAAAATATTTTTAGAGTTGTAGAGTTTTGAAATTTCGACTTTATTAAAATTTAATTTAATTTCAGTAGCGCAGTAGTTTTTAGTTTTTTAGAATCCTATATGGACGTTGATATGTTAGAAAATACCAGTTGATTCGTGAGTCAAAATTTGCTTTGAAATATTTCCTGATCATTGCAGAGTCTTTATATGTAATATTGGAGGAGTATTAAGCGTAATATTTCAGCAAAATTGCACGGCAATGTTTCTCAATAGGCGGCCATTTATCTGTTTTTATCAACATTTCATGAACCTTGCATTGAAATATTTAGGAAATATAATGTGCTATGTGGGAAGTAGAATGCATAAAAAAATAAAATTTGACCTTGAAAATCAAGGTCAAATTTTTAATTTGCGTATATCTTAAAATCCCCTTTTTTTCTTTTCTTTAATTATTTAAATGAAAAGCTTGACTCATTTTCTACAAGATATAATTTTAAGAGTCGTTTTTAAGTTTTTGAGATATCAACAACTGATTCTTCGCGCGCCACCATGTCGCAGCAGGCAACACTCTTTACGTGTAAGTATACCAATATGTCCATGCATGACTATATGTTTCGAGAATTTTTTGTAGGAAATATACGGCACTGATGATAAAAAATGATTTAAAAAATATTATTATTGATTGTTAAGTCTGAATTAGTGATTATTGAAAAAGAGCAGTATACCCGGGATAAAAATAATCCGAAAAGGAAAAGAATTGGTGCTTAAAAAAGCAGTAATTTGAGAAATGATAAGGACACTCGTGTTGAAAGTTTTATTTAACCTAAATTTAGTATTTTATTACACTTTAAGAAACATGTTTAACATTTAGAAAAAGAACATTGAGAAAAAACTTTTTTGGTCACTATAAAACTTGTGAAAAATATGTAATTTGTAATTGAGGTTATGTTTACGAAAAGGTAAACAATGAAGATACATACATCTGCCTTATGAATTTTAGATAAGGAACTGCATTGACCACCATTTTAACTGACAGATTGTGTTCTTCTCTACCTTTTCAAACATTGATTTGAGTCCTAAAATACATTTTTCATTCTGTTTTTCAATAAAATTTACAAAACACTGTACGTTTTCATATAAAGTTGCTCGAAACCTTGTGAAACGAGTCTTGTGTCACGGAGTAAGTCCAAGTTCCGGTCTTAAATGAAAAGGTCTATTACATGTGAAAGAACTTCGTGGTTAAAGTACTCACCCCACATAGCACGACTTCTTGCTGTGAGGTTAGTGTAAGGATATCTGTAGGGCTTGTAAGGTTACCGCGTAAGCCTACAGTAAACTTGAGGTCATCTTAAAACTTCCGCCATGACAGTAAGCTTACACAATACACAGTAAAGCTAAGGTAAGCTTACACAGTAAGGTCGTGGTAAGTTTACATGGTAAGGTTGTGGTAAGCTTACACGGTAAGGTTGTTGTAAGCATCCTGTAAGGTTACTGTAAACATAGAGTAATATGAAAATATATTGAAAATAATTATATTACAATATATATTATATTATAATTTTTTTTGTAAAAAATTATATATTTGGTAAAGTACTTCATGTACCCAATAGGGTTTGTTAAATAAAAGTTACTGCGCAGCTGTATGTGCCATAAAAAACTACTGCGCATAAATATTAATAAAATTTATTTATTAATAACATTCTATGTTTACAGTAACCTGACAGGAAGCTTACCACAACCTTACCATGTAAACTTACCACGACCTTACTGTGGAAGCTTACTATCATGGCGGAAGTTTTAAGATGACCTCAAGTTTACTGTAGGCTTACGCGGTAACCTTACAAACCCTACAGATATCCTTACACTAACCTCACAGCAAGAAGTCGTGCTATGTGGGACCTCTATAGGACTAAACTATGTGCAAGTTACAGCCCGATCCGGTCAACTTTTTTTTCACTTACCGGAATTCACTACCGGAATTTTACACCATATATATATTCCGGTAGTAAATTCCGGTAAGTGAAAAAAAAGTTGATCGGATCGGGCTGTAACTTGCACATAGTTTATATATATATATATATTTTCAGATAGCACAATTTCTCACATGGAACTTGACATGGTAAGTTTTGAAATATTGAATAGTTCCGCCTAAGAGCAACCTTGCATGGCAAGTCTAAGGGAATGTTGCGCTGTAATATTGAGAAAATATTACATGGAAAGTATGAGGCAATATTGTAGCAATATTTCCGGATAGTATTCAGGCAATATTGAGGTAGTATCGCATTGTAACGTTAAAGTAATATTGAGGTAATATTGACGCAATATTGAAGAAATATTACAACTTTTTGTTTTAGGAAGAAAAGAAGTCAAGTATGTTTCTAAAATAATCTAAATATACTATAAATAATTTTTGTTTGTTAGTTAAACACAGGACTCACGGGCATTAGGTCCATGGTACGGTTCTATTCCTGCCATGAGTTTATATTTTAGTTAAACTGAAACTCATTATAATTCTACCTCAATATTATCTTAATGTTACAATGTAACTATTTGTAATACTATTTCTATTCAATCTTACACGAAACTTGCCTAAATATTGTATTTTACTGTATTGTAAATATTTTTATTTTTTCGAAAAACAACTACAATATATATATAGTTATACTTATATCCCACATAGCACGGCTTCTTGCTCCCAAGTAGCACGGAATATTGGTTAAATCTCACGGTGATATCAAGTGGGAATATTCCTGTGACATTCAGGCGATATCATAATTGTCCGCTTCATGGGGACATTCCACGGTGATATTCCTGTGACATTCGCGTGATATTCGTATGATACCGAGGGAATATTCCTGTGAAATTCATGAAATATTGAGGGGATATCCCGGTGATATTAAGGAAATATTCCAGTGATATTGATGAGATAATTAAAAAAAAAAATTTTTTTAATTTTTTCAATTTTTTTCCATTTATTTATTTTTTTATTTAAATATTCAAAACAATCAAACAAACAACATTTTAGAATTTTATAAATAACAGGAATATTATCTCAATATCACAAGGATATCCCCTCAATATTACATGAATTTCACGTGAATATTCCCTCAGTATCATACGAATATCACGCGAATGTCACAGGAATATTGTTAAAATATTGTTTTATTTTCACTTTTTTTATGAGTATTTACTTTTTATTTGATAATAATTGTAATTTCATATCTTCGACTCAAAATAATCCAGATGAAGAAAATATTTTGTTTAACAAATACCTTGTTTGCCAAATGCTATAGAATTTTATACTTTAAAGAATCTTTGATCTGGTGTATCAATTTGACTAAGCAATCGTACTATTTGAAAGTCAAAATAATGAAAAGAAGCTTAGTTGTTTATCTTTGTACGATTCCACAGTTTGTCACGTTTGTATTAATCTTACGTGTACTTTTGTGATTTTTTATATTTAAATTAAATGTTAACTTTGTCTTATTCTATAAAGAAACTATGGGCTAGGGGTAGCATCAAATTTTGATCTTGCTTTGAAACTTTTTGATTTTCAAAAATTAAAAAAATTGAAAATGTACTAGGAGTTTAAAAAGTGTTGAGTGGTCATTCAGGTTTCTATTCTTTCCTTTGCAGGTATATGACCTACTGATTTTTCGTGTTAGGAAGATTTGAGATAAGAAGTTCGTGGCACTGAAAGTGACTCATGCTATACATGTGTTTATAAGAAGTTAGTGGCCTTCGAAGTTCTGTATTGAAAAGTGAGGTTTCAGTTTTGCTCTGTTTTTATTTTTAGTTAAAAGTGTCAGGGCACTTTTGAGAATAACGTAATCTGGAATATTATTCTGTCTCAATCGTTAATTTGGAAGATAAAATTTGAGTGCAAAAGTGCATAGGCATTTTGACAATTGTTTATAATACTCGGAGAATCACTTCACACTTGTGACTTGAATCCGTTGGAAACAAGTCGGAGATCGAATTTCAGTGGTACGTCAGCACGTTAAAATAATATACTACCTCGCATTATTATATACATTCATAAAAAAATACCACTTTTTTTAAAAATAAATTTCATAAAAATATATTCACGTTTTGAAACCCCCTTACCATTTCTAAAATATTTTTGTTAATAAAAAGTCATTAATCGAAAGTCGAAAGTAATCGAAAACTAGAATGAGATGCACGATCTGATTGGCCGAAGCAAAGTAGCGCGAGCTTATTTGAAATAATGTAAATTCAACTGAACAAATTTTTAAACATAAATTAATATATTACGTTTCCATTAATTATTTATTTAAAAAAATAAGTTTCCATTTTACAAATTACGAATAATATTATTATTAATTAAACTTTATTTAAGAGAAATAAATTAAATTAAAGAGTAACATAATCTCAATGAATCATGTAAATTGGAAATTCTAGATTTGGAATTGGATTTTGTTTAAAGAAACTATTTATTATATTCAATTAATTATTATTTACCAGATCTAATTAAAAACTTGGTTTAACCTCTTACATATCGTAGAAATTTCCACTGTTTGGATCAAAAGTGTATTCAAAAAATTTCTTATGAATTTTTATAAATCTTGATTCGCTTGAAACTCAATATTCGGGGTCAGTTTTTCAAAATTCTAAATGGCGGATTAGAATGGTTGACGAATTTTTTTCAAATTGATCGGATTCGCTTGAAACTCGAACTCATTGTCAGAGATCCGAAATCATTAAAATAGCAAATTGCATGAAAATCAACCTATTTTTTGAAATTTTGACTTTAATTGACCTAATTGGCCAACAAAATTATTTGGTTGAACATTTTTAAATTCCAACCAAAATTTGGTTACGATAACAAAATAATTTGGTTAACACAACAAAATAGTTTGGTTTAAAAAACCAAATGGTCGTTTGTTGTCCTAACCTAAATTTGGTTGTAACAACCAAATAATTTGATTCGCTCTTAGCTCATAGCTTAAGAGATCAGTTAGTTTAAATCTCTCACAAGGATAGGTAGTCCAGTGGTCTGAGCTCCCGATCTTCAGTTTTAAAACAGAGGTTCGATCCCAGGCGGAGATGAGATTTTTCAAAGTCCACAAATATTAAAGAGAATTTCAACAAGCTTCTGGAAAGGTTGCTGCAAGCTTGCTGCAATTTTTAAAAAATACATTTTAAATTAAAAAAAAATTTATTTGTTTTCTAAATTTGAAAATCCTTGTGACGTTTATTATTATTAATTATGTCCTGTTTATTTTCATTTGGAAAGTTAACGAGAACATTTTCGAAACAAATTTGAGGGGACTGGGAATTGAACCCGGGTTCGACAGACACTAACCAAAGACCCCAACCGAGAACCTATTCGACCAACTATCAGAGAATAAAAAAAATCTTGCTCTTAACCCTCAACTGTTTTTATGAGTTGAAAAACAGTTAAAAAACGGCGGGCTTTTTCAAAATGCTTTTAAATAGAAATTTTGCGTTTTCTATTTTATTTGTTAATTAATCAATGTTATTGTTGTTATATTTTATGAAATTTATTTAAAATATGAAAATACTTATTGAAAAGATGAATAAAATTCTTTAAATGTATTAAACATTTGTTAATTTAATAATAATATTTATATATCTTATTATATACTTACTTTATTTATCATTTTAATTTCTAGTATTTTTATTCTCTGATAGTTGGTCGAGTAGGTTCTCGGTTAGGGTCTTTGGTTAGTGTCTGTCGAACCCGGGTTCAATTCCTAGTCCCCTCAAATTTGTTTCGAAAATTTTCTCGTTAAGTTTCCAGATGAAAATAAACAGGACATAATTAATAATAATAAACGTCACAAGGATTTTCAAATTTAGGAAACAAATAAATTTTTTTTTAATTTAAAATGTACTTTTTAAAAATTGCAGCAAGCTTGCAGCAACCTTTCCAGAATCTTGTTGAAATTCTCCTGCAACCTTACGTAGCAAGCTTACAGCAATCTTTCACGGCAAGCTTGCCGCAATCATTCTTAGTATGCTTGCAGCAATCTTTCATGGCAAGATTGCAGCAACCTTTCCTGGAAAGCTTACGGCAAGCTTGCCCTGGGTGGGACATTTCGCTAGCCCAGCCAAGCTTGACAAGCTTGCCCGGTAAGTTTGCCGCAAGCTTGCTGCAAGTTTCCGTGCTATCTGGGAAGTTATCAAATCAATTTTGTATTTATATTCCCTTGTTAGAGTAGCGGAATGGTTAGAGTTAGATTTTCCTTTTTCCATTACATCAAGTTTTAATATTTTTATTAAGAATAAAAAATATTTTGCAGGTATTTTTAGGTAATAATCTTGCAATGATTGTTATATACCATTTTATAGTTGTTAGAAAACAGTTCTAGAACTGTTACAAATACATTTGTAACCATGTTCTAGATCTGTTACAGAATCTTACATATCCGCTGAGTACGACATTTTGAGTAACCAGTGACTCACAGGTTCTTAACCAGTTACAGAACATGTTTTCAAAAAATTTGTAACAGTTCTATAACTGATCTGTAACAGTGTTTGCTGGGGATATACATATAAGGAATAAAAAATTTTTTTAAATCGTTTAAAACCTCTTCTTTTAGGTATAAAAAGTTTGAAGTAAATAAAATAAATTTTTGTAATAAAAAAAATGTTTAAGAAAAGTCACTAAGATGTGGTAAAATTCCATAGGTAAACTAAATTTAAGTCATGCTGAAATCGAGATTTTCTACTTTAACTACAATTCTTTAGTGGTAACATTTAACGATAACTAAGCAACCTGTAAAATTTTTTTAAATGCATATACGTATATGAAATATGATAAGTTAATATGTATTACTATAATTATAATTATTTTTTTTATAATTTTATACACGTTGAAAACGATATTTGCATAAATCTTACTTAAAAAGTTGGGTAAAACATGAACGATTGACGTAGGGTGAAGTGTCCTAAGAATACCCTACTGGAAAAACGTAGGTACGATCCATGATTAGGTCACATAGATAGGTACATTTTAGGTACATAAAAACTCACGTGAGAATGCTGGCAAGATCTCAAGAAACACAGCTAGGATCCTGCGAGAGATATTATACGTACGAACTCATGTGCGAACACACGTAAGAACGCACAGACGACTATGGCAATAACATGGCTTGCACCTTATAAATAGTTATTTTCGTATCAAGGGCGCAAAATAGGTGATTGTGGCGCAGGCGAGATTTAGGAAACCGAGGGGATTCGAAGCGCCGAGGTTCTCTAAATCTCGCCTAAGCCACAATCACCTTTTGCGCCCTTGATACGAACGTAACTTTTTGTCCAGCCTGGACGAAAAGTATGTCGTTTGAGGGCACGACTGTTCTGAAAAGTACAGATAAAAATACAAGAAAAAAAATTATCTATACCGCTTTCAGTTTTATATCCCCTCTAATATAAATTAAATTACTAGACAAAAAGTATAAGTTGCATAAGTGTGTGTGTGTGTGTGTGTGTGAATATAATACTGTAATACATTATAAACAGTAAAATTCCATTAGGCCTTCTTGACCAAAAGCCTAACCCCGAGCGACAATGAGATACTTTGGGCCTGCTTTAAGTGCCCGAAATAACATACTTTTCGGGCAGGTCACAGTGGTCCTCAAGCATCGACAGGTTCAACTAAAATGGATCCAAAAATTGACTGAACAAGCTTTTAGAAGACTATTCGTAAATGTAAAAACTGGTTTTCATAATATCCTAGCTGATCGTTTTGTCGAAAAAACTTAAAATTACGTTTTACGAAATGTATTTTTAGCATTGTATTACCCAGTAAAAAAAGATTTATTGAGCAAGCGATTTGGCTGATTGAGCAAGCCGTCTGCCCAATTGTCTAAACGACATTCGGACAATTGGACTGTTTGCTCAATCATCCAATGCATTATGCCCAATCACCAACATTGTATTTCGCGTCTAATAAAAGAAGAAATCGGTCCGAGTGTTGAGAAAATGATAAATCATGAATAATTATTGTTAAAAAGCAAGAAGTAATATATAAAAATACCTGAAATAAGAATAAATAACGAGTTTTGTAAAATGTTATTTTTTAGTTGACAGTGCACTGATGTAATATGAATTTTGTCGGTAAAAGTGAGGAGTATGATAAAGAGAAACGTTTCTTTATCGACTCGTGATACATTTCAATTGATAATAAAAAATTGTAGATTTCTTGTTTTTTTAAAAAATAAGGAGAAATTTCAATTGAGTATTTAAAAATAAATTTTAATTGATTTAATTTAATTTAATTAGTGGATTAATGAATCAGTGAAGTGAATTAAATTAAATTAGGTTAAATACATTGAATAGTGGTAAGTAATTATATTTTGTAAAATTATTATTTATTAATAGAATTATATTCTTTGTTAATTTGTCTAGTATTATTCTTTTTACAAAAAAATAAGTATAAATAAAAACTGGTAAGTAAAATAATTGAATTTAATAATAATATATTTATATTATTAAACTCAATTAATTAAATAAAATAGGATTTTTATTAAAAGAATCAATAAATAGGAGATTTAAATTAATTCAATTATTTTAAAGAAAATTTTTTTTTATATATCAAGGATCAAAATATAATTAATAATAATATAATTAATAATCCTATTTTATTTAATTAATTGAGTTTAATAATATAAATATATTATTATTAAATAATTCATTGTGCACATGTTTTCTACTGGTTCTCCTCATGAGAACTCATTTTAAAATGGAGAAAAAGCAATTGGTCTTGCGCGCAAGCTATAAGTTAATCACTCAGTTGTTAGAAGAAGTTACAAAACTAATGCACGAATACATTGATATGAATGGATGAATGAATGAAATTTCAACTTGAATATAAATAGATAAATAAAGCTTAAATGGTAAATTAAGCTTAATGGTAATCTTAAAATATGAAAAATTATTGTAAAACGCAGTTTAAAAATATTTCGAAAAAAATTGGTTCTGATTTGAGGCAAAGTCGTTTTAGCGTCTATAAAGAGTAATCTAATGAGCTATTCTACAAGCTTTTGTATGTATTTTACTATAAGTTAAATATACTAATGCTTAGTGAGTACGTACTGTACACTAAAATGGTTTACCAATGAACATTACAGATATAATTGTTGATTATTGAACGGTATATAATACAATGCTAAAAATACATTTCGTAAAACGTAATTTTAAGTTTTTTCGACAAAACAATCAGCTAGGATTTTATGAAAACCAGTTTTTACATTTACGAATAGTCTTCTAAAAGCTTGTTCAGTCAATTTTTGGATCCATTTTAGTCGAACCTGTCGATGCTTGAGGACCACTGTGAGGTAGGACAAAAAAGATATTTTGTTCCCTCAGACAGTCGTTTAGCTCGGTTGGTTAGGGTCTTTCGTCTGCGTTCGTACTCGGGTTCGATTCCCCGTCCCCCCAAAATTTGTTTTCGATATTATTTTCGCAATGTTCAGTTTCCGAAATATGTAATAAGTGTTAGGTAGGAATTAAAATTAAAAACTGTTGAAAATATAATTAACTTTTTTTCATTCACTAATTAATTTATTTATCGAAGACGATGTCTGCTACTAATTTTTCTTTAATAAATGTTTTCAAAAATATAATAAATTTTTTGTATTTAATAATTGAATTCATTTATTTTTTTATTAAAAAACCTCCCTACTAATAATTAAATTAAAATGTAAAAATAATTAATGAATATTAAGGAAACATAACGTGCTTCCTGGGTAGACATTTATTCATTCCTGTAGTTCTTATGTGTGTTCGCACGAGAGTTTTTGAAGAAAAGTATAAATATTTTTGCAATATTCTATCCCATTTTAGGGGATTAAAAAAAGAGGGAATATTCGAGATTAAATGGAATAGAAAAATTTTATACTTTACAAAATATCTGATAATTTTAATTCCATTATATTCCAGCCTTCTTATCAGGATAGTTTTAAGTAAAAAATATTTGATCTAAGTAAATGTCATTCAAATAATTTGAATTAATTGAACGAAATAATTTGTTTGATACTGTAATATTGGTAAATAAAAAATTTTCCAAAATCTTTTACATCGTTTTCAGAAACTAAAAGGCAATAATGTTGATTCTACAACTCCTGCTTTTTCTTACACTGCTGATTGTGATGTTCATTTTTAACAAAAATAGAAAAAAGTTAAAATTGCCTCCTGGTCCTTGGCAACTTCCATTTCTCGGATATTTACCATTTATCAACGCTAAAAGTCCTCACTTAACATTAACAGCTTTAGCAAAGCAATATGGATCAATATTTGGAATAAATATGGGATCTGTTTATGCTGTTGTATTATCTGATCATAACATCATTAGGCAGGTATTGGCTAAAGAAGAATTCTCTGGAAGAGCACCATTATATCTCACACATGGTATTATGAAAGGCTACGGTGAGTTCCATTTCTTTCATTAAAAATGTGATATTATTATTAAAATTTTATTTATTCTAAATATCATTTGAAAATTAAATTATGATAAGCAGTAATATATTAAAGATCAATCGGTTTCCAATGTTTAAATTTTACTTAAAGTAAAAGCTTGGAGATTAATCGATTGTGCTATTTCTAAATTGACAAAAAAATTTTAATGCACCTCAAAAACACTAGAAAAACGTTTATCATGTAAATGATTTATGTAAGGGAGAATGGGGCAAGGATAGTTAAGGGGCAAGGATAGTTAGTTGCTGTTATGCTTAGACGGTTTGCTTAAAAATCGCGTCATTCATGGTATAGTTGCGTCTTAACACCAATACTCTCTAAATCGGAATTAATAAAAATGTTTACTAATTTAAATTAGTGACTCACTTTTTGCTTTAGAATTAGTTAAATTTTACTAATTGTTAGTAAAAGTTACTAATAATTAGTAAAATTTAACTAATTCTAAAGCAATTCTAAAGTGAGTCACTAATTTAAATTAGTAAACATTTTTACTAATTAAGATTTAGAGAGTAGATGATAGTAAAAATTGTAAGTCAATCTGCCACCATTTGCGAAATCAGGAGTTTTTTTTTGTAAAAAGTCTGTTTTGCTAAAATGTCAACGTAGTGTTTATCATATTGTTTTCTATATTAGTGCTTCCGAATATTTATTTACGTAAGTGTTTTCCTGAGTGGAATTTCCTGCTGAATTATGTTTATACGTTTCAGATTTATTATTTTCTTTATTAAATAAGTACTTTATATATAAATATTTTTACTTTTTTATTGACAAAAAAATTATTTTTAACATTTATTTATTTTTCATATTTAAAAGCTCAGTATTGCTAAAATAAATTAACATTAAAAATCATGAATATTTAAAATTGCCAAAAGATTTATAAATTTTTAAATTAACGATAAAATTTTTTTGTTACAAATGCATTCTAGGATTTTAAAACAGTTTACACAAAATTACCTGAGTTACTAAAATAGAAGTGTTACGTTGAGAAAAATGTTTGAATGGAACAAATTCTTTCTATAAAATATTCGCTAATTGTAAGTCATTGTAGATGGTAGTTACTTTAATTATTGGATTAACGACTGATAAATATTTAATTGGCCCAAGAGTAATTTTTTTGAATAAATTATTTGTTTTCACTGTACAAATGTTTTATTTCAATTCTGCAATATGTTTCTCTAAATCTTAAAGTTAAATGTTTTTTGTTCGTTAATATGAAATAAATATTTAGTAGAGTCAAACAAAAATTTTCTCTTATTTAATTATCTCAGACAAAATAAATATTTTTATTCAACTTAATCAAGTATTTTTTGAAATAAAAATTGGAAAAAGTGTCCTTGTTCAAACTACCTATGACATTTTGAGCAAGACAAAAAGGCTTAAAAGATGTTAAATAATGTTTATTAATGTTTATTTGCAAAATGACGTGATTTTTTAATGATTTTTCAATAAATTTACAAATTTTTCGAAAGGACAACCATTTTTCCGACAGCTATCAAGTAAGAAGTGGGAAATAAGGAGTGTGAAGGGAGGAGAGAGAAGTGGGAAGTGAAGTAAGAAGTCGGAAGTGAAAAGTGAAGTGGGAAGTAAGAAGTGTGAAATGAAGTGGAAAGTGAGAAGACAGAAGTGGGAAGTGAGGAGTGAGAAGTGGGAATCGAAGTGGTAAGTGAGATGAGAGAAATGTGAAGTAAGAGTCCCCCACAGAACCAAAAATTTCCTGAAAATTTCCTAAAGATTTATTTGCAAACTTCGGAAACTTTAATTCCAAAGTTTAGAGAAAATTGTATAAAGATTTAAATGTCCAAAATGAGTAAATGTTTGGCGTAAAACTTGACGGAAGATTTAAATTAAATTTTCCAGAAATTTTCGACGCGAAAATTGAGTGAAGATTTAAATTAAAGTTTCGTGAAATGTTTGGCGTAAAAGTTGACTAAAAATTTAAATTAAATATTTATTAAAAATTTTTACCGAAAGTTGAGTGAAAATGTAATTGAAATATTCAGTCAATTTTTGTGACGAACAATTCCTAAAAATTTAAATTAAATTTTCAGAACAGGTTGGACGAAAATATTTGTTAAAAGTACAAAAATAATATTTAAGAAGTATTAATATTATTATTAATATTAATAATAATAATAATACATAGATAGATAGATAGATAGATAGATATATCTTTATTATTATTATTATTATCAATAAAAAAAATTTACTATCTGGGATTAAAAATAAAATAAATAATATACAAACATTGTTGCTCTGCTTTGATTCACATTGAATCAAGCACTGCATGCTTGTTGAGCAAGAACTTTTGAAAACAAATTATGGGGTGCTGGGGATTGAACCTACATTCGCCGCGCGCTAGCTAAAGACCCTAACCACTACACTACAGATATCTGGCTGAAAAAAAAAAATCTTCCACACACTCTACAATTTTATATTATCGACTTTTAAGTCGATAAGTAGGATCACTTGTCTATCAGTAAGTTGTAGATTGTGTGGAAGATTTTTTTTTTCAGCCAGATATCTGTAGTGTAGTGGTTAGGGTCTTTAGCTAGCGCGCGGCGAATGTAGGTTCAATCCCCAGCACCCCATAATTTGTTTTCAAAAGTTCTTGCTCAACAAGCATGCAGTGCTTGATTCAATGTGAATCAAAGCAGAGCAACAATGTTTGTATATTATTTATTTTATTTTTAATCCCAGATAGTAAATTTTTTTTATTGATAATAATAATAATAATAAAGATCTATCTATCTATCTATCTATCTATCTATCTATCTATCTATCTATTTATCTATCTATTTATCTATGTATTATTATTATTATTAATATTAATAACAATATTAATACTTCTTAAATATTATTTTTGAATTTTTTACAAATATTTTCGTCCAACCTTTTCTGAAAATTTAATTTAAATTTTTAGGAAATGTTCGTCACAAAAATTGACTGAATATTTAAATTACATTTTCACTCAACTTTCGGTATAAATTTTTAATAAATATTTAATTTAAATTTTTAGTCAACTTTTACGCCAAACATTTCACGAAACTTTAATTTAAATCTTCACTCAATTTTCGCGTCGAAAATTTCTGGAAAATTTAATTTAAATCTTCCGTCAAGTTTTACGCCAAACATTTACTCATTTTGGACATTTAAATCTTTATACAATTTTCTCTAAACTTTGGAATTAAAGTTTCCGAAGTTTGCAAATAAATCTTTAGGAAATTTTCAGGAAATTTTCGGTGCTGTGGGGGGTGGGATGTGACAAGTGGGAAAGCTACGGATTGATCCCCAGTAACATCGATGAGAAAAAATGCAAAAAAAAGAGTAAAAAATTTTCAAAGTATATTTGACTTTGACTATTTCGAGGTGCAGTTTTAGTTTCCAGCACAAACTCATTGATATCGCAGAAACTTATCTTATTTTCAAATTACTTCAATGTCAAAAGATTGGTGTATTGTTAGTATCAACAATAGGATTTGCTTTCGGTAGCAAATTTTTTTTCCCAGGATTTTTACAGTATTTTTTTTACTTTTGTCATTTTTCTTCAATCCTGTTCAAACAGTGTATCATACTTTTTTTATTTCTGGCAAAATGGCTGAAAATGAAGCTTGGAGTAGTGGCGAGTCTGAACCAGAAAATGAAGTATTACAAAATGACGTCATCGGTGAAATCGATACGGAAAACTTTTATTATGACTCAACTCAATTGTACGAGGACGCATATTTGTATCCATGAATCAAAGATTTTGAAGAAAGCTCTATAATAAATCCCAATATCTTTTTTTCGGAAAATAGGCCAATCGACTATTTCAACTATTTTTGTGATTCTTCTTTGCTTTAAAAAATTGTAGAGGAGACGAATTGTTATGCAATTCAAAATCCTATCCCTCAATCTTCCTACATGAAAGCTTGGTCCCCTATCACAGTCACGGAATTGGAAAATTTTCTTGGCCTTTCGATTTTAATGGGCCATGTCCAGAAAGGCGATCTTCAAAGTTATTGGACCACAGACCTTTTGTTACACACTCCAATTTTTGGTCAAACTATGTCTCGGGATAGATATATTCACATCCTGCGAAATTTACATTTTCATGACAACGAAGAAATCGTAAGTCATCCTTTAGTGAAAATAAAGCCTGTAATAGAACACGTACAAAGTAAATTTTCGGCAGCTCTTACTCCAGGGAAAAATGTGTGCATAGATGAAAGTCTATTATTATGGAAAGGTAGGCTTCGATTCAAGCAGTATATTACATTGAAGAGAAATCGCTTCGGCATTAAGCTCTTCATGATTGTAGATTGCGAGACAGGATTCGTATTGGGTTTTGTGGTTTACACTGGTGCAGACACTGATTATCAGAAGTTTGGTTTGGGTGTTACTGGCGATATTGTAGCTCACTTTTTACAACCTTATTTTCATAAGGGCCATGTTGTATATATAGATAATTGGTACACATCTCCTATTTTGGCAGAATTTTTACATGATCGTGACACAGGTATGTGTGGCACGGTGAAAGCAAATAGAAAAGGAATGTCGAAGCTTGAAAGAAAATTAGTCCGGGGTGAAGTACAAGTTTCTCACAATGATGTGTGGATGGCAGTGAGGTGGGAAGATAAACGTAGCGGTCGCATGCTTACAACCGTGCACGAACATGAGTTCTGTCGTACTGGAAAAAAAATTTCTGACAAATGAAGACATTGTACAGCCAAGGTGTGTTGTCGAGTACCATCAAAATATGGATGGTATCAATAATGTTGATAGACAGGATCAGTGAGAAAAACCATGAAATGGTATCGAAAGCTTTTTTTCCATCTTATTGATCTTTGTTTACCTAATGCCCATGCATTGTATAAAATTAGAAATGAAGGAGCAACATCATTTCCTTCATTTAGATTAGATGTCGTTCGATCGATATTGAAACTTGATCCTGATACTTGCATCTGTCCTTGCAA